CTACCACTACCACTACCACTACTTCTTCTTCTGCTACTACTGCTACTACTACTACAACTACTACTACTACTACTACTACGACTACTACGACTACTACTGATACGACTACTACTTCTACTACTACTGCTGCTAATACTACTACTACTACTACTACTGCTACTGCTGCTACTACTACTACTACTACTACTACTACTACTTTTACTACTAACAACTACTACTATTGCCAATTCCATATTCAGTATTGTACCATTATTTCTGCAATTCTCCAAGCTTCACGACCGCTACCAGCAGCAACAGCACGACGAAAACGACAATTACTTTAAGTGTCACTAGAAGACTATGATTCTCGACCTGGTCGAAATTCCAGGCTTTCGGGTCTTGTGAAAAATCCAGGCGCTAACTTACTTAATATTATACAGATACGGCTGCTGCTGCTGCTGCTACGTCTCGTTCTTTTGCTACGACAGTACGGTAAGACGACAAGCGTATCGGCTTTGTGTCCACTTTTTTTTTTGGTGGATTGAGAGGGAGGCTAGGCTGATCATTGTCGCTTTGCAATGTAAAGGGATGATACAGAGATGGAGGCACTGCATCATGCAGGGCCTCCTTCTGAATCGGAATCTGGCTCCAGCACAACCTCCAGCAGCAGTTCAGGACTGCCGCTGGATAGAGTGACCAGAGATTGAGAGTCAGGGCAGCTGCACGCAGAGCGGGGCAGAAACTGCGTGCTCCGAGCAGAAACTCCCAGGCGGCATCTGCTCTCTAGTGCTACGCGAGTCAGAATCTCACATAATCCAGCTTGTGGGTATCGGGCCTCCGCGAGGAAGAAACTAGAGAGCACAATTTGGAAGCACAGTTTACAAAACTAGAGCAGAAAAATAGCACTAGAAGGAGCACCTCTTGGAAGCACAAACTACAAAACTAGAGCAGAAAAAGTAGTACTTAGAACGAGCACAATTTCGAAGCACAATCTACAAAATAAGAGCAGAAAATAGCACCAGAACGAGCACAGTTTGAAAGCACAAACTACAAAACTAGAGCTTGCAGGGCAGCAGAGAAAACCTAGCGAAAGCAGCTTCTGGCCTGATTCTATTATTGTATTTTATATAAGGCGCGCGAGCCAAAAACTAATGAGCGCAATTTGGAAGCACAATCTACAAAACTAGAGCAGAAAAAATAGCACCAGAACGAGCACAATTTCGAAGCACAAACTACAAAACTAGGAAGAATAGCACAAGAAGCAGCACAATCCACAAAACTAGAGCAGAAACAGTAGCACTAGACGGAGCACAATTTGGAAGCGCAAACTACCAAACTAGAGCAGGATCAATAGCACAAGAAGCAGCACAATTTCGAAGCACAAGCTACAAAACTAGAGCAGAAAACGTAGCACTAGAAGGACCACAGATTGGAAGCACAAACTACAAAACTAGAGCAGAAACAATAGCACTAGAAAGAGCACAGATTGAAAACACAATCTACAAAACTAGAGCACAAGAAAGAGCACCACAAGTAGCTCAATCTGGAACCACAAGCTACAAAACTAGAGCAGGAAAAAGAGCACAAGAAGGAGCACACATTTCTAACCCAGGATCAGGGATTTTGAGGCGGCCCAGGCTTCGGTACTAGACCCGCCCGGACCGCCTGGCCCGGGCCCGGGCCCAGTACAAAAGTTGGTCGACCCGCCCAGACCCAGGCCCAGGACCCGCGACCCAACCCATGCCAGACGGTGCCGCCCCAATACTACACTCCACCCGGAACTGGCCCGGCCGAGCCGCCAAGCATCTGAAATTGCGCCGCCCTTCACCTCCACCCCTTTGAGAAACTGCTGCCCAAAGCACCAACCAACTACCACAGCAACAATGCAAGACTGCAGCAGCCTCAGAACAAGCGCAGCTTGGCAAGCAGCTCTTGGTTGAACCAGGCACCGTTTCAGAACGTGCCTAGCCTAGCGTACCCTGTCCAAAAACAGCCGCAGCACAAAGACACGTTGGGTGGCAGCACCCCGCCATGCAGAAGCCACAAGCACAAAAATAATCTGCAATCTAGAGAGGAACGCGACACGAATAACCCATTAGCAAAAGTCACGCTGGCCTGCCTGGAACAGCGCCATGCCAGCGGCGAATCTCCTGCTGTAATTAGCCACCCAATGTGGCTCCTTCCGCCCTCAGGGGCGAAGGAAGCATTTGTCCAGGACACCAACTCTTGACCTTGCGACACCAAGTGAAGTCGATAGTCAACTGTACGCTGAAGGAACCCCAAGCACTTCCGTGTAATCGAAGAGGCTCGCCGAGGGGCTTTAATCGTCAATGAAGAAACCAAACTAGCCACGTAAGCAAGATCAGGGCGCGACCTCTGAGAGAGCCATAAGATCTCTCCGGCATACTGCTGCGCTTCTCGCAGCTCTGCTTCTGAAAACATTGTCTCCTCCTCCGTGGCGACGAATGAAGCATGCTCCCTTGACACGGGTATCAAGTCCTTTTCGGGTCTCTTTGACATTGCGGACGCGTAGTGACTCTGCAATGTAATCGGCTTGAGAAGCAGCAAAGCCACGTCGATTTTTTCAATCTCTAAGCCCAAAAACTTTACAGCCGCATCAGAAGCCATGGACAACGGACTGGTAGACCAAGGTTCTTTGATCGCATGGGCCATGGCCCTGACGATTGGGGGTGTCGAGCAAATTAGAATGCCGTATACTGCGTGGGTGAATTCCCATAGCTCATATTCTGCGCAGAGGCCAGCACACACAAGCCCTCGAGGAGGTTGACCAAACACCCGATGACGACAATCGACCTTGGAAAGAGGTGTCTGCAAAAAGGGAAAGAGGTGTCTGCAAAAAGGCGCTGGTAGTATCAATCGCTCCAGCGTCCGAGCCTCGGCGACTCCAAAAGTGCCAGAGACGACGTCACCACCTGCCGTAGGTGTCCTCGCCAGACGCTGCCATCATGTTCCCGCAAGCCACAATTCGAGCCTTCTTCCCGAACCGAACCACTCGCCACTGTTGAGGCCTTCTTCGCTTGGAGGTTTGACTGTGTAGACAATCTTCATGGGAACCGCCGTGGCACGGCCTATTCGCATATCTTCAACGACCTGAGGATCACGACAGCTTCGCTTTCGGGTTGCATGGTCAAGCGATCCCATCTCCTTCTTCCCTGAGGGAAGCCGGTTACCGAAGTTTTCCCGGGCTTCCTTTGGGTCAACAGTGTGAACTATTGCCACAGGACTGGACAAAGAGTCCAGAAGATGCTCAACATTTGGTGTGTAGGCAACCTCAGCTTTGTTCAACCTTGCCGCTCCGCTGGAAGAAGCAATCTTTGCCTTGGGAACAACGTCTGGGTCACCTTCTTGCAAAGGCAAATGCATATCCCAACGATCTACTTCCTCATCTCCAGCTTGTAGGGCAAAGTTCACATTGATCTTTTCATTTTCATCTGAACTTTGACTTTCCACCACACCACAATCGGAGACACCAGTGACGTCTCTGGCAATTTCTCTTTCAACCAAACCTCCTCCTCCTCCTTAATCTCCTTGCTGTTCTCCTGTTGAGCTGGTGACTGAGCCGACAAAGTTCTCAGAGCGATTTCAGGAGTAAGTTCTTCAGCTTCTGGAGGAACAGGAAAACCCAGCCGCCCCAAAACTTCACGGTCAGCTCCCGGCAAAGTCTTCAGCGCTCCCGGGGTGTATGCAACCGCGACTATCCTCAAGCCTTTCCAAAGAAGCGCTGCGCGACGATGTGGATCGAAGATAAAGATTTCACACAGCCGTAATGTGGCACTCCACGATTATCTAGCATCTCAGTCACCTTCCCCCGAACAATGTCACCATCAGAAAATTTCAATCCACAGATCTCCTCCTCGACGAGGCGTCACGATGAGGCACGAGTAGTTGCTCTTCCCCCAACATGTTGTTGCTGTCAAAATGGACGTCCGTTTGAGCATTCACCGACGCATACAGAGAAGTAAACTCAGCATTAGGGCATCTCATGGCAAAGGTCTTCGCGAGAAATTCAGCCACCCAGGATTTATCAAACGTGGCCTTCGTGAAACCCACAGCTGCACCATGTCTAAACACCCCAAAAATCTTGTCGTTTGGCCCCAGCATCATCGCAATCTGCGCACATAAGCTCTCTGCCTCCTTCTGCGACCAAGAACTCATCAGCGCTTCAGCTTTGGCCCTGAGCTCCTCGTCGCTCACAACCGTTTGCGTCCTTGAAACTGCCACCGCATCTCCACTCCCGGCGGCCTTTGACCTCACCCTCCGGCTCGGAGGACCAGCTCATCTGGAACTTCCAGCTCAACTAGTTCCGTGTGGACGTGGACTGTGTGGATGAACTTTTCTCAGTGCCCCCATCAGTGACATAGATAACATGTCCTCTACGAACTGTCTCAGAAAGTCCGAGGTATCTGCCTTCCACCCGCCTCGGCGCCAAGTCATCAGGTTTTCCTGGCTCAGCGCTTCCACCGTCTTCTTTCTCAGCAGAACTCGCGCGCCGAATGGCGTGACCAGCTTTGCTTCCAGACCCAACGTTGTTGCCCGCTGGGATCCGCAGCCACAGACACCGCCTAAGGCCATAAACGCTGGGGAAGTTTTGGTCCAAGTAATAGCGTCCTTGCCCGCTGCTTAACGTACTTGACTGCATTCTCAACAACGTCACTCTGCTGATGCAGTCCTCCCTCGTTGGTAGTAAACCTGATACTGCTCTTGCTCTTTCTCGATCGAACTCCGTTTGCAGTCGCAGATTCTCATCTCCCATTTCGCTCCGGCGTCCAAGTATCGCGCCCATCTGGCGCTGCACCTCTGCTTGGATCGCCTCCGCTGGAACACTGCTGCTGCTCGGAGGAGTGTTGAAACTGGATCCCTTAGGATTTTTCTGAACTCGCCCTCCACGATCTCTCTGCGCCTCTGTGAAAGCAGGAGGAATACCAGGCTGAGTGAACATTCCACCCATAGCCGTGTAACCCATCCCGGTCACGACGGCCCACCACGTTGGGAGTTCACAGACCTCGGTGTATGGAAACCACCCTGACTCTCACCGCCCGCCTCAATCGCTTCAGCATCTCTTCTCTGCTTTGCAAGCTCCACTGTAGCCGCGGGCCATTGTGGCCCGATTTGCGCTCCAGTCTGCGGCTCCATTGCAAAGAGGCCGATCGCTTCTGCGCCAGGCTGAGCCACCGCAGCGGTTCCAGTCTCGCATTCTTGTGCTGTCTGAGCCGAAGGTCTCGGATCATCACCTCCACCTTCCATCATTGCGCTCTGAGCACGACGAGCACCATAATCACAGTCGCCAGTCTGAGCTTTGTGGCGAACCACTCCCAAGCGACCCTGGTCCACGACGGCCGTGGTCCCATCCAGCCCAGGACTCTGAACACCAAACTGCCCAGTCCCAACTGCACCATTGACTGCAGCGGTAACGTCTTGGGCGCTCATAACCTCAAGAACCGCAGGTAGGAGCCCAGATTTGCGTAAACCAGCAAACGACCGGCAGCACAACTTTCGGGTTCAGGTAGAGGTTTTGGGCGTAGGGGGTTGAGGGGGGGAGAATACGCAAGTGATTTCAGTCGCAAGGTTCCTGACCTAAACGCGGGGCTCTGAGTCCTGGAATGCGGCAGGAGATTCCTTAATGTTACTTACTAAACCCTAAACCCTAAACCCTACACAATCTCGAAGATCTAAACCCCGGAAGCCGAACTCCAGAAATGATGCAGCAACAGACTAAATTTGCTAGATCCTATAACCCCTGCTCCGAAAAATCATCGATCCTGCGCCATAGATCCTAAGCCCTTGACCCTAAATCCCGAGACCCGAAACCTAAACTTTGATCCAGGAATCAGACTTCAGCTGCTCCTCGAGCCCATCTATGCCGTCCTGACTCGTTATACCGTCTTCAAACTCGACTGGGCAACGCCTCTCCAAAAGATGCTTGAGGACAGCTGCAGGGGTTTTTGAGGGTGCTGGGGCCTAGGAGACCAACGTGGAGCACCCTAAACCTTAAACTCCAGACTCTACCTGAACCCAAAAACCCTCCATTTTTAGGGTTCCTTATCAGGGTTTTTGGGGTCCAAGCAGACTCTGCTAGGCTGCTAGACTCGTTTTGCCTTAGCTCCTGGGACTTGAACTGTGTGATTTCTTCATTAGCTTCCAAAAGGGAGGCTGGAAGTTTAACGTTGCGGAGGGGTTCAGAAATCAGCCAAGCTTTTCGAGTTTCGACCATCTCCCTGCTGCAGGGCGGATGCGCTGGTTGGGGTTTGGGTTTGGGTGTTTGGGGGCCTGCGCGGTGAACGCCAGAAAGTTGGAACATGGGTTAAAAAATGATTGGGGCTCTAGGGTTTAGGGAACCCTTTCTCCTGTTTGCTCCAGGCAAGCCCACGGCGGCGGAGAGAGTCATCAAGCCTCCCTCAGTTTGAAGCGTTGATCGACATCGCCAAAAGCCGAGAAGGGCGCCGAAGCTTGCATAAGGTTTCTCAGATGCGTTTACGAAGTTTAGGGTTTGCAGTTGTGTAGTTCGGGTTTACAGTTTTCGGGATCTTAGCTTCAATCTGGTTTAATTACTATTCCGTGTAGCTTCTTCTCTTTTGATGCACTATAGGTCTAAAGAGGGTCATCTTCTTCCGGCCATTATGCCTGAGTGCGTATTCCCCTTTAGGGCCCTGTAGGGTTCTACAAGACGGCCCCTTTAAAGGGTACTTTAGGCTTCTACAACACGGTCCCCCTTATGGCCCGCAAAAACTGGACGAACGAGGTCTTGTGCATGTACAGGCTCAGGCAGGACAAGAAGGATACGCTCATCGCGCAGTTCATCTGGATGTACCATGCCATGACCACCCGGCAGCTACCTCGAAATGCGCTTCAGGACATCTTCCGTCAGCTCTAAACCAAACCTTAAGCGCTTTAAGCAATATGAAACAGGAGCCCAAAGAAACCCTGCCGCAAACAAGCCGTTGCGACCGTCTCAGAACCCTTGCAATCATGACCGAACCCTTGAAGAAATCCTATATAACATAGAGACTTAGAGACAGGTCTTCTTTCTCGAAGCCTGAAATATTACAAACCCTGAAACTCTCTCTCTTAGATTTAAACCCAAGGCCCGTATACCTGAATCCTAAGTCTTGCTCAACTCGGAACTCCAGACCCTGAGCCCTAAGCCCAAAGTTCCAAGACGGGGGTCAGAATAAGTAGCAATGATTTTCGGAACATTATACTCCCTTAGAATCCTTCTTACAGTGACACTAAGATACATGAAAAAACCTTATTGTTATTATTGAGGCGTCTATATTATAAAGCCCAGTAGCCCTTTGTTTGAGAAGCTTTACTTAACCAGTAGTACGGCGGTTTTCAAAACAGAAAGGAACGCTCCTTCTACACCCCACCCGCCATTTTTCAACCCTAAACCTTGAGCCCGACACTATATAGAGTATAGAAAGCCCTCATACACATTATAAGCCCCAAGACTAAAACAGGATCCCTAAGCCCGAAACCCTAAACTAAATCTTGAACCCTATGTATTTTGTGCACTACGTCCTATATGTGAAGTATGGTATGCCCAAAGGCCATCTTTCAGTTCCTCGATTCTACGGACAGCAATTTCGCAGCCTATCCTTCCTCGATCGGCTCGCCGGCAGGTGTTTCGAGCATTGGAGGTGTGTGTGCGCGTGTGGGGATGTGTTAAATTAGGGTTTAGGTTTCGAAGTCCTAGGGTTTAGCTCAGGGTTCAGGGGAGGCAAAAGCCCCACCCCACGACGGCAGCCCGCGTCTCGATGTGGGATTTCCAGTTTGTGTATACTGCGTGAACCTTTCGCCAATGCCCACAGCATGTGGATGGGTTGAACCCCGTGATTTTCAGCAACATAGGGAGTTGGGATTTTCGACTGTATAGGGCTTCTGAATTTTTGATGTTTTCCTGGGTTTTAGGCTTCTTGAGGCTTCGGCTGTTCGCATTTTCGGAGGTCGGGATTTGTTAGATTTTGAGGGGTTGCAGCATTTGTTAGAGCTTAAGGGCTCCTTTCAGTTTGAGGTTCAACGTTTAGCGCTTGTTGAATTGGGGACTTCGGTTTCTTTGCAGTTTGGAGTGGTTTCTGGGTTTTTCGTGTAGCGTAGGGCCAACAAGCACAACCCCCAAACCCGATTTACTGCAGCCCTCAGGTGGTAACTCGTCTGTGACTTCGGCGATGTCGTCGGTTGGCTTTCTTCGGCGGCGCATCTGCGATGCCATCTGCCGCATGGACTAGGTTGGCCTACAATGGGACGATGCCTGCGTTTGCGCAAGTTCTGCGAGTACCGTGATTGGATTTTTTCCAGATCCTACGTGTCGTCTTGTTCTAAGTTCTAGCACGATGGTTTTAATGGACCCATAACGCCGATGCTGCGATTGGGTGCCGGGTCGAGACTTCTCGCAGGACCCGGCGGGATGCGATTTCGAAGACATGCACAGCCTTGACTGTTGTATACTCATAGTTCTGCTGCGCTGCGGTTCTTGTCACTGTTTTGTTTAGTCCCGTGCCGCCCTCAGAACAGGGATCGCTCGGACTGGAACATGCGATTTCTGGAAAGACTACGGGCCGTGAGGCACTTGGCTGCCTTGTTGGAGTTCGAAAATGGTGCCACAAGCCTCGAATCGCAAATTTCTCCGATCGGCAACTAGATGCCAGGCCCTACACCTGCTCGAGTAGCAGGCCACACACCTGCATGTGAGTACAAGTGCAATTTAGTCGCGTTTGTTGTGGTTCAGGAGTTGGGCTAAGACATTTTGGAATCTCGAGGCAATGGGATACACATAGAACGAGCTGAACCCTAAAGCATGGAAGATGAGCTTCCCAAGCTTTGCTTGGTGTTCGCAGCCTAAACCTCAAACCGGCATTCCGCAACTTAGAGTCCCCACCTCTTCAAGGCAGGGGCTTAGAGGGTCTGGATTTATAAACCCTAAACCCTAAAC